AGAGAGAGAGAGAGAGAAGACACTAACGTGCTTCGCCTCGTGAATAGCGTAACCACGAGACGTGCGTTAACACGGACGTAGGCGCGTTTACACGCCTGAACAGCGAACAGTTCAAAAAAATGTAGTCGAACAAGAACACACGGAAAAACGAGGCAAGCGGCTTCCTTCGCGGTACTCTTGTAGCGTACAATGGCGGAGCAAAAAACAGATTCGAAGGCAGCTTCTTTTGGGCAGTTTCCCCTCCTATAACGCTCACCTAGCTTCGGGGGCGCTCGACATAATCGCACATACACCCATGAGATCCACGAATAATCGAGCGTTCTTGTGCACTACGCAACACGACACGACTTTCATGCAACTCGCACGGATATAAATGTCCGTCACACCCAATGCACGATAATCCCTTGGCTGATTTCTCGTTACAAGCAACGCGCGTACTCTTAACCGTTTTGCGTCTTTTCTTAATGTCGGTATGTATGCGATTCCAGTAGTTCAGACTTTCCCTCTTTAAACACGAATACCGACGTCGATTTTAGTAAAAGTCACACGAGCAACGCGAGCTATTTATCAATAATATATAGGAAATTCGACCAACTTCGCTGTTGCTGAAGCGGGATCGACCAATACTGCAGTGCTGCTGCCGGATGTGGCCTTCGTGCCACGCTGCCCAATCGGATTCATTTTCTATCTATAATGTCGGCAGTAAAGTCCAATTCGCAGCTCGATACATGAATGCTAACGAAAAACCCTAGACTCAGTTACGTTATTTTTCCCGCTTGTTTCATACAACACCTGCTGCTATATACAAATTCTAAACCCGATGACTGGAATTATAACATCGTATTTAAAATAAACTTATTGATCTTGTATGCAACTTCAATTAATTTTATGTGGTTAATTTATTATTTATTAGAAATAATTTGAACTTATATCTTAATACTATAAATATATAATAGGAATATAAAAATGTAACTTGTAAAGCTTATTATGTAAAACATTACAATAAATGGTACAATGAGTGTGTTAGTCTTAAAATGAGCTACGTTTATTTTTATTTTGGTTCATGATTACATACATAATTAAATATTTATTTAGCAATGTTAAATTATTGCATAATAAGAATAAATACATTTTAATGCAGATTTTCAATTTTATTCGTTTCTTTTAATATGTATCAGATAATAATGACATATTATGTATATTATATATGCATATGTATATATATTTATATAATATATATTATATATATATTTATATAATTTTTGTAAAGTGCAAAATCTATAACAATACGATATAATTATAAATTACCTAATTAACATTTAATAAATAATATTACTATACAAATAATTTTATTATAGCGAATTAAAAAATTCTTATCTAACGCATTAGTGAATTTAAATGTTTGTATTGGTACGCTATTGGTTTAATTATTACTAACTTCGCCAGATGGCGAAGTAAATATAACAGTGTTAATATGCTGTATAATACTGTGTACTGATTAATATTGTTTGACGTATAAGTATAATGATATTAGTAAAATGAGATAATGTAATATGATAAAAAATAATAACATAAAAAGTAATTAATAAAATCTAAAGATTTTATAAAATGGATATTGCTAAATCGTTATTTAATGTTCGTGACCACGAAGGTTATGTTGGCAAAGAGGACCATAACGTTAGTACTTTTATTCACTTAATTTTCATGAATTTTTAATTTAATCGATTTATTTATAGATAAAAGAAACATTAAAATGTCATATTTTTGAAAAATGAACATTTTCTTTAAAGCAATGTTTAATTAACATAAAATTAGTAAGACGTATGCACATCTGTTAGAGCATAGTATTGATTTGAAATTATTCATTACACTTTAGAAAAAGTTGGAAACTGCTGTTTCTGAAGATGAATTTGAAGTAGAAGTTACTGGATTATGTGGAGAAATTTTATCTCCTGCTCCAGGAGGTCCATTTTCTGCTTTAACACCATCCATGTGGCCTCAAGATATTTTAGCTAAATTAAATCAACCTGATGATCCTAATTCTCAACCTGAATATAGGTATTTGTTAGAAATTTGTTACTATAAAAAATTATTCTAACATGTGATAACTTAATATATAATAATTAATATTTTAATACATAATAATTTGGTAATGTATATATTAGGTTTGATGAATTTGGATTTCGTGTAGAAGAAGAAGATGGTCCAGAACAAAGTTCAAAAAAATTATTAGGTATTCCATTTGTTGAAGATCCACAACATAGGTATAAGGAAAATTAAATAGAACCAATAAATAACTAGATAAATATTGGTTGTAAAGACAAATTAATTTAGTAATTTTATATACTTAGACTACAATGGGTTGCTTTATTGGAATTCAGTCATAATAAAGAAGTAGCTGAATTTTCTTGGCAAAACATGGATAGGAGATTACCACGTACAGATAAGTTACGGGATATGGTTCATCATGGTATACCTCATTCTCTTAGGCCTCAAATTTGGATGAGAATGTCAGGTACAATATATTTTATTATGATTTATTAACATTATAAATTTATAGTTTTTATAATATAAAAATACAAAGTTAATGTTGTAGGAGCACTTCAAAAAAAATGTTCTTCTGAAATAATGTACAAAGATATAGTAAAAGCATCAAGTAATGATGCATTATTGACTAATAAACAAATTGAGAAGGATTTATTACGTATTATGCCTGCCAATGCGTGTTTTAGTCATCTTCATAGCACAGGAATACCACGCTTAAGACGTGTTATGCGAGCTCTTGCTTGGTTATATCCTGACATTGGGTAATGATACTTTTATAATATAATATTATAATATGCTTATTCAATTACTGTATCATCTATTTATTCTGCAAAGATACTGCCAAGGTACAGGAACAATAGCAGCTTCTCTTTTATTGTTATTAGAAGAAGAAGATGCTTTTTGGATGATGGCTACAATAGTAGAAGATTTATTACCAGCATCTTATTATTCTTCGACATTATTAGGTAATCATTGGCATATAATAAATGGTAAAATATAATCGGTATTAATGATAAGAATATTTGATAGGTATTCAAGCTGATCAAAGAGTACTTCGTACATTAGTGGCTAATTATCTTCCTGATATAGACCATGTTTTGGTTCAACATGATATAGAATTAAGCTTAATATCTCTACATTGGTTTCTGACTTTATTTGCATCTGTTGTACATAAAAAAATATTATTACGTATATGGGATATGTTTCTTTTTGATGGATCTATAGTTTTGTTTCAAGTTACACTTGGAATGCTAAAGATTAAAGGTATATATTCTTAATAAGAAATATATTTACAAGTATTTTAGGTGTATTTTCATATAATGAACTATTTAATATCTTTTTAGAAGATGAATTAAAACAACTAGAAAACTCTGCACAAATATTTAATTCTCTTTCGGATATACCAGGAGATATTGATGATGTAGATCAATTATTTAATGTACGCTTTTATTCTACAATCTCTATTAAAATTTGCTTACACATGTAATAGGCAAATAAAAATTTCTATAATAAAAATTGATTATCTTTTCTTAGACATCTTTAGAAGTAAGTGGATCATTAACAGACGTTCTGGTTGAAACTCATAGGCGTAGACATTTAGCCTATTTAATGGCAGATCAAGGTGGTCTTATAGGTAATCCTGATGCTGTACCAAATCTACCAAAACAACATCTTAATAGGTATATTAAATTTATAAAATTTAATTACATGTATAAAAAAATTTATTAAACTTAATAAAAACACTTTAAATAATATGAATCTATCATTTTTAACTATTACAATGATTTATATCTTTTAAAGGCGTCAAATGAAGAGAAATAAGTCGATGTTTCAAACATTCTTGTTTGGAAGTTATGATACCGAAGATGATGCGAAATCAAAAAATATTCGACAAACAGGTATATTAAGATCAAGAAAATATTTATTTAAATTATGTTCTAATACATAAAAAAAATAATACAGTTTTAAAAATATTAAATATTGAATATTTTAGAAATATTAGTTGATCTGAGAGAAGCTGTTTTGCAAGT